GCATATAAATTCAGAAGTGACAACTGAAAGGGTAAAGGAAAAAAGATAAAATTAAAAAAAATAATAAGAAAAAAATTAAAAAAAAATTCTTGGCAGCCTTGTTGAAAATCATTTGGCCATATATGTGATGGTCTATTTCTGGCTATTGTATTCCATCGGTTTATGTCTATCTTTATGCCAGTCTCATACTGTTTTGATTACTGTAGTTTTGTTTTACACTGTAACTAAGTTTTTTTTTTTTTTTTTAGAGTGAGAAATGATTTTGCTATGTAACTAAGTTTTGAAATCAGAAAGTGTGAGTCTTCCAACTTTGTCCTTCTTTGCCAAGACTGTTGTGGTTATTCAGGGCTTTTTGACATTCCATATGAATTTTAGGATAGGTTTTTCTATGTTTGCAAAAAATGCCATTGGGATTTTTTTTTTTTTTTTTGGCATATTATGGGGGTACAGATTTTAAGGTGCCATTGGGATTTTGATAGGGATTACATTAAATCTGTAGATTGCCTTATAGTATTGACATCTTAACTATATTGACTTTGGTATGTTGAATCATTTTTTTTTTTTTTTTTTGAGACAGTTTCACTTTGTTGCCCAGGCTACAGTGAGTGCCGTGGAGTCAGCCTAGCTCACAGCAACCTCAAACTCCTGGGCTCAAGCAATCCTGCTGCCTCAGCCTCCCAAGTAGCTGGGACTACAGGCATGTGCCACCATACCTGGCTAATTTTTTCTATATATATATTAGTTGGCCAATTAATTTCTTTCTATTTATAGTAGAGACGGGGTCTCGCTCTTGCTCAGGCTGGTTTTGAACTCCTGACCTCGAGCAATCCACCCACCTCAGCCTCCCAGAGTGCTAGGATTACAGGCGTGAACCACTGTGCCCGGCCTTGTTGAATCATTCTTGCATTCCAGAAATAAATCTCATTTGGACATGGTGTTATAATCTTTTAAATGTGCTGCTGAATTGTTTGCTAGTTTTTGTTGAAGATTTTGCACCAATATAAGATTTTGGCCTGTAGTTTTCTTTTCTTGTAGTATCTATATCTGGCCTTGGTATCAGGTAATATGCTGGCCTCATAGAATGAGTTTGAAGTGTTCTCTCCTCTTCAGTTTTTGAAAAGTTTGAGGATTAATATTAATTTTTTACATGTTTGGTAGAATTCACTAGTGAAGCCATTTGTTCCTGGGCTTTTTTCATTGTTGGGAGGCTCAATTTCCTTACTAGTTATATGATTATTTAAATTTTCTATTTTTTCATGATTCAGTATTGGTAGGTTATGTGTTTCTAGGAATTTGTCCATTTTATCTAGGCTATTCAATTTGTTGGTATACAATTGTTGATAGTATTCTCTTATAATCCTTATTTCTGTAAAATTAGTTGCAATGTCCCTCTTTCATTTCTGATCTTAGTTGAGTCTTCTCTATTTTTCTTAGTTGATCTAGCTAAAGGACTATCAATTTTGTTTTCAAGGAACCAACTCTTGGTTTCATTGATTTTTTCTATTGTTTTTCTACTTACTATGTCATTTATCTCTGCTCTAATCTTTATTATTTCCTTCCTTCTGCTATTTTTGGGTTTAGTGTGTTCTTCTTTTTCTGGTTTCTTAAGGTATAAAGTTGTTGATTTGAGATCATTGTTTTTTTGTTTAATCAGTCTCATTCTGTTGCCCAGGCTAGAGTGCTATGGTGTCAGCTTAGCTCACCACAACCTCAAATTCCTAGGCTCAAGTGATCCTCCTGCCTCAGCCTCCTGAGTAGCTGGAATTACAGACAAGTACCACCACACCTGGCTAATTTTTTCTATTTTTAGTAGAGATGGGGTACCACTTTTGTGCGGGCTGGTCTTGAACTCCTGACCTCAAGCAATCCTCCTGCCTGGGCCTCCCAAAGTGCTACGATTACAGGCGTGAGTCACCATGCGGGCCCATTATTCTAATATTTATCCCTATAAATTTTTCTCTTAGCACTACTTTTGCTGCATCTTATAGTTTTGTTATGTTGTATTTCCATTTTATGTTGTATTTTCGTTTTTATTTATCTCAATGTATTTTCTAATTTTCCTGTGCTTTCTTTTCTGACCTATTAAGACAGTGTTAATTTCTACGTTTATGAATTTTCTAGCTTTCCTCTGTTATGTTTAATTTCATTCCATTGTGATTAGAAAAGTATCTTTGTATGCTTTTAATCTTTTAAAATTTATCAAGCCTTGTTTTCTGACCTAACGTATGGTTTATATGGTCATATGCACTTGAGAAGAATGTGATTCTGCTATTGTTGGGAGGAATGCTCTATGTCTGTTAGGGCTAATTTGTAGTACTGTTCAAGTCTTCTGTTTCCTCATTGATCTCCTGATTATTCAAGTAATTGTTGAAAGTAGGCTTACTATTAATGTAGAACTCTTTCTTTCAATTCTGTCAAATTTTCCTTTACATATTTTGTGGCTTCATAGGTGTAATTATATCATTGTTATATCTTCTTGTTAATGTCTTTGTCTCTTGTAATCTTTTGTGATTTCAGATCTATTTTGTCTTATAAAATAATATAGCCATCTCAGCTCTCTTTTGGTTCCTATTTGTATAAAATATCTTTTTCATCATTTTACTTTCAATGTCTTTGTGTTCTTCTATCTAAAGTGAGTCCCTGATGGACAGCATATGAATTATCTCCCTTTTTTCTGTTTTTAAACCTAGCTACCAATCTCTGTCTTTTAATAAGAGAGTTTAATCCATTTACATTTAAAGTGATTCCTGATAAAGGATTTACTCCTACCATTTAGCTGTTTATTTTCTATGGGTCTTATATGTTTTTTGTTTCTCGATTCCTCCATTTTTATCATTTTTGTATTTAGTCGATTTCTTGTAGAGTATCATTTTGATTTCCTTATTTCCTTTTCTGTATATTTTAATTTTCTTAGTGGTCACTTTGGAAGTTACAATCAACATCTTAAATGTATAACACTCTAGTTTGAATGATACCAACTCAGTTTCAATAGTATATACTCTACTTGTATACATCTCCATCTCTCCCCTTTATTCTGTTATTTCATAGATTACATCTTTATACATTGTAGGTCCATTAACATAGACTTATTGTTTCATATACTTACCTTTTCAAATCATATAGATAAAAGAGAGAAGCTATAATATTGGCTTTTTTTTCTTTTTACAATACTTTGAGTTGCTGTTTTAAAACCAAGAACTTGGTTTGTTTTTTTTTTTGAAACAGGATCTCATTATGTCACCCAGGTTGTAGTACAGAGGTGTGATCATAGCTCACTGTGAACTTGCCTAGAGTCAAGCAAGCTTCCTGCCTCAGCCTCTCAAGGAGCTGGGATTATAGGAACATGCTACCAAGCCCGGATAATTTTTATTATTATTTTTTGTGGAGATGGGATCTTGCTATGTTGCCCAGGCTGGTCTCAAACTCCTGGCCTCAAGCGATCCTCTGATCTCTGCCTCCCAAAGTGTTGGGACTACAGGTGTGAGCTACTGTGCTCTACCATAATATTGGCTTTTATATCTACCTATGAAGTTACCTTTAGTAATATTTTAAATTTTTTCTGACATCTTAGAAATACTGTCTATTGTTTTTCATTTCAGCACTTGCTTTAGCATTTCTTGTAGGGCAGGTACAACTCAGTCTTTATTTGTATATATCTTAATTTCTCCTTCATTCTTGAAGAATAGTTTTGCTGGATATAGAATTCTTGGTTCACAGGTTTTTTTGTTTTTCTTCCCAAGACTTTGAATGTCATCTCTGTGCCTTTTGGCCTCCATAGTTTCTGATAAGAGATCAGCTATCATTCTTATTGAAGATCTCTTGTACGTGATGAGTTACTTCTATCTTGCTACTTTCAAAAAAATTCTCTTTTTGCCTATGAAGTCTGACAATTTGACTATATGTCTCCGTGTGGATCCCTTTGAATTTTTCTCCCTTGGAGTTTGTTAAGTTTCTTGGATGTTTTTAATCAGACCTGGGAAGTTTTTGGCCATTATTTCTTCAAATATTTTTGCTGCCTATTTCTCTATTGCTTCTCTGAGATTCCTATAATGTGTATTTGGTACACTTGATGATGTTCCCTGGGTCCTTCATGTTCTATTTATTTTTTCTTCACTTTTCTTTTGCTTTTCCTCAGACTGGATAATTTCAGAGGTCCTATCTTCTGTTGCTGGAGTTTAGTATTCGCAAATGCTGTGGGGCATGAAGAGTCAGTGCTGGGTAAAGACACAAAACCATCCTAGGTTTTGGATTTTCATGCCCCTAATCTTCACCCATAAGGGCATCTGGGCAGACAGGTGGGTGGAGAGCCAGTTTTTGTGGCTAACAGAGGAAATGGTGGAGGATTCATGCCTATACTTTTTTGCATTGCCTAACTTTTCTCTTAGCTTGGTTTTATAAGGGAGATAACAAATTAGTTATTTTATACATAATTATTTCTAAAACAATAAGTTAGAGCAAATTTTATGTTTTTTAATTAGCAGCAAAATTTTTTTTTGTAATAAAATAATTGGACAAAAGCTTTTGTCACTTGTTAGTCTCAAACATTAAACAGTAAGGAAGAGTTTTTCCACTTAGCAGATTAACATATTTCAGGGCCTTATTCTCTAACAACCATAAGGGAGAGGTTTCTTCTGCCACATTGATCAATCGATTAGTTGATTCTCAGTGTAAGCTCATGGATTCTTATTTTAAACATTTCCCACAACCCAATATATCCCATGAGACTCTGATTTTGTGATAAATTCTCCCAACTACACTAGTTTTCAAGAACATAAACTAATGAGGTTGACAAGGGATGACAGTATTTATAATTTTTTTAAATTTAGTTTTAAAAAACACATGTAAAATAAAGAGCACCTTCATATTTTCTGTATCTATGTAAATACTTTATTCTGCTTTCAGATAGGATATTGAAATTTACATGTTAAGACAACTAATAAATAGCCAAGCTACTGACACAAAATATACAAGAAATTTATGAGACATAAGACACAGATGAGAAAAATCTGAATTAAGTTTTTAATTTCATTTACCCTATTAGGATCAGCAGGACTTCTGGAATTGATACTGGCCTTGTGTATCAAGCACTTTTCCCCCATAAGTACTTATTTATCCTTTCAGAAAGCACATCATGCTATTGTGTCTAAGAAATCAGTGAATAACTAGGCTTTCCATCTTACCAAAGTATAAAACATTACTTCAAATCTAGGTCTTCTGGCAGAATCTAATTATCTGTTTGGGTAAAAGAATACCTTCTTTTCTTTTTGCTAAGTTCTTTAATCAAGTTATTAAATCAGAAAGCAAATAGAAGGCTTCGGACAAGACCATAGGAGGGGGAAAAAAAGCAAGCAAGTACAAGATATGTTTACATTACAAAGGATCTCACCGAAGACTTAAGAAGATAAACAGCTGATAATTTAAAAAAAAAAAAAATCACAAATTCTGACATTTGGAGCAATATAATTGCCATATTATCTTTTATCAAAAAAGACCTTTTCCAGCTTGTTTCCAGACTTCTTTTACTCCTTTAATGCTTTCTTTCTTCACACATTTCCAGTAGTCTTGTACAGTTGGATTCTGTGGTACCTGTTAACCAAAAGTAAAAATTAAGAGGTCATTCTCTTCAAAGTTAAACATGATTTCATGTGTACTGTTTCTGTTTATTTCCTTCCCACATTTCTCCAAAAGTAGCTGAGGGTGGATTATATTGAAGTGATTGCAACAGAACTGTTAAATAAGGGTAAACGACAAAACGTGTGCCGTGAGACTATTCTTAAGGTACCAAGGAATGGATGCAGACTAAGTATCCATTAGTGGAGTTTCTTCTCTAAGAAGATAATGAAGACTTTGGGGCATCTCTAGCATATACTGGTTTTAAATTTAGGCCAGGTGTGGTGGCTCACGCCTGTAATCCTAGCACTCTGGGAGGCCCAGGAGGGTGGATTGCTCGAGGTCAGGAGTTCGAAACCAGCCTGAGCAAGAGCGAGACCCCATCTCTACTATAAATAGAAAGAAATTGGGCAACTAAAAATATATAGAAAAAATTAGCCGGGCATGGTGGTGCATGCCTGTAGTCCCAGCTACTCAGGAGGCTGAGGCAGGAGGATCGCTTGAGCCCAGGAGTTTGAGGTTGCTGTAAGCTAGGCTGACACCATGGCACTCTAGCCTGGGCAACAGAGCGAGACTGTCTCAAAAATAAATAAATAAATAAAAGTTAATTATATGTTTTCCTTTTATAATATTTTATAATGTTTCCCTTTTTCTGGTGTACTTTAGTTATGTTGAATAAAAATTAAAAGCCTAAAACTTTGATTTTAACCTTGGCTAAAATTTAAAAAAAGAAACGATAGGTCACAACTTATGAGAGGGTTCCAGAAGAAATAATCTAATTCATATAAGTGTTTTGTGAATTATAAATTCTGTGTGGTTATTACTCCTCTCAACAAAAACAAAAAGTAAAGGTTAGAAAAATACTTCGGTCCTGGTGACCACTGGAGCACAGAACTGCGGGAAATCAGCCCAGGGGAAGCAAAAGTCTACTTCAGATTATGTATGTTCCTTTTCCTGTCGTACAGCTCTTCTTTTTAACATTTTCCAAGAAAGGGCAGAGAGTCTCCCAGGTACATTAAATTGTTAACTGCAAAGACTCTTTAATTGGTGATGACTACAAAACTTATAAAACATGTTTGCCAATGAAAATTGTACTTAATTTTTTATAAATCATATTTGTTCCAGAAACCTGAGTTGCTTTTCTAAGTTGTAAACAAACAACTTTGTCCTCATGAGCAGCACCATATTCTCTCTCTCTGACCCCCTCCTTCCCGTCTTCCAACCCAACTACCTACCTACCATGTAGGTTCTCTTTGGACCCTAGCTTTCCCCTTGCAGGCGTCTTTCATGAGAGCACTTCTAGCAGATTATAATCTACACAAAATTGATGTGTACTACAGTTATAGACTAATATGTGGATTTAAGTGAAAAATAACAGCTAACATTGACTTCATGTGTCTCAGCCAGCATACTAAGTATTTTATACTTAATTCTCACACTGATTCTTTCTGGTGGATTCTATTAGTTTCCTCATTATCCAGATAAGGAGGGTGAGACTCAGAAAAATTAAGTGGCTTTGCAAGATTCAGCAGTTAATAAATAGTGGAGCTGGGATCTGAATCTAGATGTATCTAACTACAAAACCCAAAGTCAAATTCTAGGCTATGATTTCTGAGCAGATTAAGACTTTTTAAAAAAAAAGCAAAGAAAAATGTTGACTCTCATTTGTAAAAGATATTTTACTGTTTCAAGCATAGCTTATGATCTATAAATGATAAAAACTCCATGTAATGACTCTGCTCATTTGCCCAAATTCTAGGTTTAATACCATTCAGTTAATTACATGTAAACATGTATTTAAAAACTCAAAATCTGTTACCCATAAACCTCGATGCATCCTGTTTTTTAACACCCCAAGAAACTCTGCGTGACTTAGACACTCATCGCCATCCAAATCAAAGATCTTGAAGACAGTGTCCAAAATATTGTTTGAGAGCTCCTGCCCTGTTGCTACTTTCACGGCTCTCTTAAACTCCGCTAAAAAAAAGAATACACATAAAACTCATCAACAACATGAAATAGTCTAAGTGAAATTAACCTAAATTTTCATTATTTGAGAAGTAAAAACATGCCAAAATTTTTATTATTTGGGAAGTAAAACAAAACCAAAAATACCCATCAAAAATGTATTCAAATCATAAATTTGGTTGAGAAATGTCATGAGAGTAGCCATTAATAGGTACACTATTTTAATTTAATCAATGATTTAAACACACATATTTAAATATTTCCTTCTCTTTAGGAAAATGAGAAAATAAAAGCCAATAAAAATATCTGTTAAATAGGAGTGTTGGTGTTATAAATATAGAATAACCACATTGAATTAAAAGGCCAATCAATTATTTTACCGATAATAGGCTCTTTGGTATCATCTAGTTGAAGAATACAAGTGAAATTGTTTATAGGTAATAAAAATTAAATGATTCATATGACTTACCCAGTCTGACGGGGCGATGAGCTAAATTAAACATTTGCATGGCAATAGCAAAGTCTTCCAAGTGGGTTGTAAAATGGCAAAATGACTTGAACTCATCCAAACTAATGCTCTAATAACATAAAGAATTTTTATTACAACTTTGTAAATACATTAAATAATCTTATGACTATAACTGTGAGTCTATCAGAAAGCTTATGAACTTAGAACCCTCTATTCAAGTCCATTAAAAAGTCTGAGACACAGAGTAATAACAGAATTATAGGTTTAGAGATTAGGTGGAATCACAAGAGAGTGACTGGCAGGGCCACTATGCACAGCTATGCAGACTGTCCACGTGTGAACGGGCTCTGGGAGTGGTGCAGTGCAAACTTAGGGGTGCAGCAAGAATGCGCTGTGTGCAAACTCGGGACAGAGGCCTCGCCAACGGGCCCTGCTGGCTACCTTGATCTTGGACTTCCAGTGTACGAGGGGACTATGAGAAATAAATGTCTGTTGTTTAAGCTGCCCAGTCTGTGGTATTTTGTTATGGCAGCCCAGGAGACTAACACACTCTGATAACGGGCCACTTCTGCTACATGTTATCAGTGGATTAGCACTAAGGAAGCACGGGGTTCTGGAGTTAGATGGACCTATGTTGAAATTCTGCCATTTACTATGTGAATGACCGTAGCCTCTCTAAATGCTAGGTAAGTAACCCTTCAGGGGTTAAGTAGTTTGCCCAGGGTCTACCAAATGGGACAATTAGGATTTGAACTTTGGTCCATCTGACTTTAAAGCCTATGAACTTAAAAACAAAACAAACAAAAAATAATTTTAAAAAACCCAAGTTTTTCCATTAAAAAGTAAACAAAGTAGAAAAATTCTTAATTTGAAAGTAAATTCTTTCCTGCCTAAAAAAAGTTTCTCTTTGTAGGGACCTTTAGGATCATGCCTTTTGTACATGTGTGGTCTTATTCAAGTTTCACTGCTTTAAGCTTCTGTGAATTTATGAAATTTTTATTTTTAAAATTGTTTTTGAAAAAGTAATATATGCATGTGGTAAAAAATTCAAATGGTACAAAGGGTGAATGAAAAACTTTTCTTCTTCTTCTGATCCCTAGAATTCCCTTCCCCAGAGGTAAAACACTGTTAGCAATTCCTTTTGTATCCTTCCAGGAATGTTCTGCTCATATAAAAGCATGCACACAAATCTTGTTTTACACAGTGGGAACATCCTCTTCACACATTTTGATACCTTATTTAATTTTCTTTTTTTTTTTTTTTTTGAGACAGAGTCTCGCTTTGTTGCCCAGGCTAGAGTGAGTGCCGTGGCGTCAGCCTAGCTCACAGCAACCTCAAACTCCTGGGCTCGAGTGATCCTGCTGCCTCAGCCTCCCGGGTAGCTGGGACTACAGGCATGCGCCACCATGCCCGGCTAATTTTATATATATATATCAGTTGGCCAATTAATTTCTTTCTATTTATAGTAGAGACGGGGTCTCGCTCTTGCTCAGGCTGGTTTTGAACTCCTGACCTTGAGCAATCCGCCCGCCTCGGCCTCCCAAGAGCTAGGATTACAGGCGTGAGCCACAGCGCCCGGCCCCTTATTTAATTTTCTTAATAGTATATTTACAAGATGATAGGTAGAGAAGGGAAAAAAAATAAAAAACCAAGTATATTTATCAGCACAAATATTAATAAAAGAGTGGCTGCTTCTCTATTAACGATCTCAAAGCAAGCACTGGGTGAAACCTTTTTGGTGTTTGCTTTTCTGATAGGTGAAAAATAGTATCTCAGTAATATCTGATTTGTATGTCTTTAATTGTGGATAAAGTTAAACATTTTTCACATTTATTAGTTATTTGTGTATTTTTCTTCTTGTGTCCTTTTTGTCCTTTGCCCAGATTTCTAGTGTGTCTTATTGCAGAAGACAATTCTCCATGGGTCTCATGTTTCTGTATATCTTTCAAACAGAGGCATGAAGTGCCTTTTTGTTCTAGACTATCTTTCCAAGGATCTTTGTATAGTGGACAGCCTTGAATATAGACAGTGTCTTCCTATGACAGCTTTGTTTGCCATCCAGTATAATGAATACAAAATGCCTCCCTCTGAAGCAAAGGTCAAGAAGGCTTGCTTACCGCTCATTATAAAAGATTTGGATTTGCTAAGATGAAGTTCTTCAAGTGTGAAGTGAATCTACTGTGTGGGCAGCATCCACCTGGGCCTCAGCCTCATCCTCATGGGCATGGGAGGCAAGGGGGAACTGACACACGTATGCTGCTCATGCTGTTGATATGTTACGAAAGTCCTTTGTCTCTGACCCAATAGTCTTGTATCTTCTGCCAGCATCCATGAAACTGTGTAGGCTAACTTGGAATTGGATAAAATCTCAGACACTTCTTCATTATTAACATGTTGATTTTCAAGTCTTAATATATATTAAATAGGGAAAAAATCTCAGACCCTTTGAAGTTCTTGCTACCTATTGATTCTTTAAGATCCCATTATAAATTAAGAAAATTGATCTATTACTTGTCAATATCCTTCATTTTGTTAATTTTTTTTCTCTTGGCTTTGATTATAATTTGGGGGAAGGATGAGGAAAGGCAAGAAAATTTTAATTTTTTGGTAGTAATTTTATCAATTTTTCCTTGGAAGTTTCTGGGTTTTCTTAGAAAGGTACAGTAAACATATACTCTACTCTAAAATGATACATTGCTTCTACATTTTCTTCTATACTTACTTAGTTTCATTTTTCTTGCCAACATTTAATTTTATGATCCACCTGGAATTTATTTTAATGAGTAGAGATTTATGTTCATTTTTTCCCCTCAGACAGCAAGTGAATTATCCTAATGTCATTTATCAATAATTCTTCTCTTACCCAACTACTCTGAAATACTACTTTATATGTACTAGTGTATTTGAGTCTATTTCTGGACTCTGTAAAATTCACTGTCAGTAACAAACTGTTTTAGTTACCAAGGTTTGATAATATATTTTAATATGTTGGCATTCTTTTCATATAAACTTTTGAGGCTTGTCTAGTTTCCTCTCAAGAATCCAATGGTATTTTTATTGAAAGCCATTAGTGCTCACTAACACTTGGTTCTTTTCTGATCCTTGCACATCTGAAAGACGGCATTTCTTTGCCCCCTTGCATTCAGGTGGGGTTATGTGATTAGTCTGGCAAGTAGCCAAGTGTCATGTGATGTGTCCAGGCCAAAACATTAATTGCTGGAACGTGACTCCCTCCTTTCTTCTCCTGCCATGGCCTCTGAGGATGGTGCTTCCTCCAGATGATGAGATTGGAGAGTCTGGATCCCTGAGCAACAGTGGGGACAGAGCCTCCTACCAGCCCACAATGAAAATATGGCACCTCTGAGAAAGAAACCTTTGTTGTCGGCCAGGCACGGTGGCTCACGCCTGTAATCCTAGCTCTCTGGGAGGCCGAGGCGGGCGGATTGCTCGAGGTCAGGAGTTCGAAACCAGCCTGAGCAAGAGCGAGACCCCGTCTCTACTATAAATAGAAAGAAATTAATTGGCCAAATAATATATATAGAAAAAATTAGCCGGGCATGGTGGCGCATGCCTGTAGTCCCAGCCACTTGGGAGGCTGAGGCAGAAGGATTGCTTGAGCCCAGGAGTTTGAGGTTGCTGTGAGCTAGGCTGATGCCACGGCACTCATTCTAGCCTGGGCAACAAAGCGAGACTCTGTCTCAAAAAAAAAAAAAGAAACCTTTGTTGTGTTAGCCAGGGGGATTTCAGGGTTACTTTGTAACTGCTACAAACTTAGGCTGTGCTGACTAATATAACTAATAATGTAACTTAAAGACTAACTGAAGTCAGAACTGCTCTGTTTATAATTCTAAGACTTCCTATTGAATAACAGAGGATGCCTCTATAATTAAGTTTTCTTTCATATCCATCAAGGGTATAAAGTTGTATTCATTATTTTTTTGTTAAATTTCTTTCTTTTTTTTTTTTTTCTATTTCAGCATATTATGGGGGTACAAATGTTAAGGTTACGTATATTGCCCTTGCACCCCTCCCCCCTTGAGTCAGAGGTTAAATTTCTAATTGTTATTAGATTATTTTTCCATTGTTATTAGATTATTATTAATGTCTGATGTCCTTAAGTACTAAGTTTGACAGTTTATATCTCTGACATTTCACTTTGACACTTCTTGTTTTATTTTTATTGTGAAGGTACATCCTCAGTCTTACAAGTGCATCATTTGGCTTATGATTATCTTTCAAATATTTTTTTAGAGCAATTTTTGTGAAACCATAGATAAATCAAAAATTCATGTTATTTTCAAATATGAGTTCCATTGTGGAACTAGTGCAGCACAGACAGCTCTAAATATCAATGAAGTGTTTGGGAAGGATGTGGCTAATGAACACACAGTATGTCAATGGTTTGAGAAATTCTGGTAATTTTAATCCTGAAAATGAGCCACGTGGATAACCTGAAGGTGAGGGTGATATTGGACCATCTGAAACACATGGGCAAGGTAAAGAAGCTGGATAGAGGGGTACCACATGAATTAAATGACTGTCAGAAGAGAAATTGTTTCAAAGCTTGCCTTTCTCTGCCTATCACCCCATAAAGGCAAACAATTGCTACATGTGAAAAATGGTTTCTTTTAAAAACATGTCCAACTTATTTTGTCTTATCACATACACACAAAAATGGTATACCAACCTCTCCTGCTGACAACTTCTCTCTCACATTTTTCCAATAAATGTCTTTATTATCAGTGTTAGTGAAAAAAAGTAGCCACTCTGCAAAGTCTTCTTTTCTCATGAAACTCAAACCTTTAGAAAACTGGAGGAATTCCATTTCTTGAATCTCTGTTTGTAAATTTTCCATAAATCTAAATGTTAAAATACAAAATTGGTATAAATAACTAGTGGCATTCAACCTTCATACTGTAAAGGGGACTGCAAAGTGTCTTCACTGTTAAGCTCCTGAGTGGGCTCTTGCCGTGGTGAGCAGGGCGAAGTGTGAGTGCTGTGCAGAGGGGGCAGGGACAGGGAGGATGCAGAGAAGCTGATAAAGTCCAATGCTTGCTTCGACCTGTGATGCTCTATACTCAGTTTGTAGAAATTATACCTGACAAACTACATTTTGATAAACTTAAAGACTAAAATTTAGGTGGGATACTGCTTTTAGGATGTTAAAATAATGAATAGTTCCTAATACTTTCTAGATATCAACGCCGATAGATGTAATCAATGGCTTTGCATCAAAAGCTTAGATCTACCTAAAAATATTTACAATCTTTCAGATGATAACCTGTGTCTATATGACTCGACATTCCTTTCCTATAAAAACAACATGGTACTTTGATCTAACTGTCATCAAGAGCTTCTTGAGAAAGGTGCAAGCCGAAAGGATATCAGGTTAAAATATATTTTCTTTGAACAAGAACCCAGAAATACTATACTTGATTTATTTATAACCTAAATCATGTGAAAAGTATTATGATCCCCACAAGTTTTAATATGTTGCAGATCCCTTTAGTCACTTTTCCACATGTTAAAAGATCTGTATTATCTGTCATGTCACAATTTAAATGAAAATATACATGGGGTGAAAAAAGAGGTACATTCTAGTTCAATGGGAGAAAAACTGCCACTGTTAAAAAAAACTACTTGCTTGAGGTTCTACATTTATCCCTTAAACCTTAAAAGCAGGAAGGATGAGTTTGATCTTAGGCTTCTATGTATGTGGTAGGCAAGAGTCTGCTGCCTGCATTGTTCGAGTGTTTTGCATACACAGATGTATCAATGCCATGCTTCTTTCTGGTCAAAGCAGAACTTTATCCAAACTTCAAGCGTGGACTGACACATCAACAAAGTATTTTACTGACATACTTTGCCTTTTGTTTTACTGAGTTTTATTGTATTGTGATGACATTCAATTGGCTCTTATTAGGATTGTTAAAGCATACTTTACTTTCAGATGAGTGTACAGTGAATTAGGGCAGCGGAAAATACAATCTAAAAACATTCCTTTCCTTTTTCTTTTTCTTCAGGCTCTATCTGAGCCTCTAGATAAGCCACCAGACACATTCTAAACAAATTGTTATGTTTTTTATTTTATAAAATTTTATTTTATTTTTTAACCCTTTGCACCCGGATGTCGAGTGTGACTCGACACGGTTAGCATAGGTAGCAGCTTGTATGTCGAGTCACACACGACTTGACACGTAGTTTCACCATGGGGGGAAGAAGGATTTTTGTCTATTTTTCCAGTATCTTTTCTTGTTTTCATTAGCATGAAAGGACAAGTAAAATGTAAATGCAGAGATGGTACACTAACTTCCAGGGGTGGATTATTATCCACTAACTTAGAGCAACGTTTAGATGGAAAGCTCCATATAATCACACCTCACCCTAACAAAAAACACAGATTGTGTTTGTTCTAACAGAAAAATCAGAGGAAGAAGACAGACGATTTATATTTGTGAAACATGTGAATATAAACCAGGTCTTCATGTGGGTGAATGTTTCAAAAAATATCACATCATGAAAAATTATAGAGATTAAAAATTACTCTTTAAATGTATCAATAATTTGAAATATAAAAAAATCTAAATAAATTTGTATGAAAAGAAACTCCAGTTTTTTATTCTACCGCTGCACTTTGTAAAATCTAGGGTATTTAAAAAATTAAATCCCGAGTAGAATAAAGAAATCGAGAAAAAAGCAAGCAAGTGCAAAGGGTTAATAGGAAGGGGGTAGTGAGAAGGGGGTTCAAGTTCCATTTTTTTTTTTTTTTTTTTTTTGAGGCAGAGTCTCACTCTGTTGCCCCAGGCTAGAGTATAGTAGCTTCATCATAGCTCACTGCAACCTCCAACTCCTGGGATCATGTGATCTTCCCCCGCCTCAGCCTCCCGAGTAGCTGGGACTATAGGTGCATGCCACCACACCTGGGTGATTTTTATATTTTTAGTAGAAATGGGGTCTTGTTCTTGCTCAGGCTGGTCTCAAATTCCTAGCCTCAAGCAATTCTCTCACCTTGGCCTCCCAGAGGGCTAGGATTATAGGTGTGAGCCACTGTGCCCAGCTCAATATAATTTTAACTTAATTTTTTTTTAGAGACAAGGTCTTGCTCTGTAACCCAGGCTAGAGTATGGCCAGATCATAGCTTATTGTAACCTCCAATACCTGTGTTCAAGCAATTACCTGGATAATTTTAAAAAACCTTTTATTTTGTAGAGATGGGGTCGTGTTGTGTTGCCCAGGCTGGTCTTGAACATCTTGCCTCAAGTGCTTCTCCTGCCTTGGCCTCCCAAAGTACTTGTAAGAGTGAGCTATACAAGTGAGCTATAATGCCCAACCTAATTATAATTTTAACTTTAGGGATACCTTACTTTATCTAAGAGATAAGTTCCTGAAAAATTGCATTTAAAGTATTTTTTTTGTTAATTAGATCTTTTTAAAAAAATTTACATGATGGTATGACAAATTTCACAGGGCCCATTATTTATAGAAAAATTAATTTTTAAAATAGTTTAAAGTAAGACTTCTAAAATAAAATCATTCCCGTTAAAGGAAATTAAAGTTAGGAGCAACCTTAAAAATTAACTAGTTAGGGAATCTTAAAGTGAAGTGAGGTGACGTATTAGTACCTGTGGGAATACAGTTTGAAAAAGTACCATTAATTTGATAATGACTTTGCCTTGTTTTAAATCATGATACTTTATTTGGAAACTTCAAGAAACACTGAGAGAGTGATATTTTGAGTAGATAAGAAGAGATATGGCTTAAAATTCTGTTGAGAAAAATTGTTCTAGAGAGGTTGAATGACTCACCCAAGTTTTGCTATTAGGTAACAGCAAGGGAGATTAGGATATAATTCAGAAATTTGGATCTTCATGGATTCTTCCTCGTTCCTCAAATCTAATCAATCACTAAGCCCTCCAGTTTTATTTCCTAATTGTGTCTGGAAATCTCTCCCATCTTAAAATCCTTATTGCCACTATATTAGTTCAAGGCTCTTATCATTTCTTTTCTAGACTATTTGGATGGTTTTCTCTCTCAGAAGATCTATCCTTCACTGGCAGAGTGCTGGCACATCTGACAAGTATCCTACATGTATCACTCTTCAGGGTCTCCTGTTGCTGATTTGAATGAACAAGTTCTGTCTCACGGCAAGTATAACCTTCCGCAGGTAAGTACATACTCCCCAGCCTCCATTCTCACCACTTGATGTTTACTACTCTATCTAGTCCCAGTTGCGCGTAATTCTCATCACAAACTATACATTTTTATGCCTTTAAGTCCGTGCTCCTGCTGTTCTCTTGCCCTCAAATACCTCCCTGCCCCAAACACTTCTGCCTGTTAATTCCTGCTCATCTTTCAGGACTCATCTTAGGTGCTACTTCTTCAAGAAAGCTTCCCCTGATCACCTACTCCCAACCTTCAGTACAGGGGACACTAAGTGATCTTCTGTATGACCAAAGTACCCTGTTATCTATGAAAGCACTGACTGCAATGCATGTAAATGTTTTTCTACATGTTTATTAGATAGTCTCCAGAAGGGACTATAGCTAGTGTCTGAGACACAACTTGATACATAATAGCATATAGTATGCACTCAAACAGATCTTTATTAAACTAAGCTGAACAAGATGCAGGTCTTCTGCCTCCCAAATCAGAATTTTTTCCTACCATTCTCTAACTCTTTCTGATATTTGTGTTAAGACTTTGGTTATTAAGTAGCATAGGGAGGAACACTGTTTCATTTTGCATGGAGTTATTCTCCTTGGGAAGAAGGTATTATTAATAAAAACAGGACACTTAATTTTAATGTTTACAATAGTCACATAATGTAAGTATTATTATTCCCATTTTACAGATAAAGAAATGAGCTCAGGGAGGTTAAATAGGCTGCTTAAAATTAATGTTAATGTAAAGCTTTATTGGAACATGGGCATGTTCATTTGTTAGCGTACTGTTTGCTACAGCTGCTTTCACACTACACCCACAGATTTGTGTAGTTGTGATACAGACCATATTTACTAATTGTCTCTTTGCAGAAAAAGTTTGCCAACCTTTGTTCTAGAGAATCGGATTAAGTGGAACAGAGCTGAGTTGTCCCAGCTGAGGCCATCATGGAAAAGAGAGCTGCCAGCCAGCCCATCTGGGTCAGCATCAGCTGATTCTGGCCCATCAGAACTGCCCAACTGACCCAAGGACTCTTATAAATAATAAATGGCTGTTGTTTTAAGTTAAATTGGGCTTGTTTGCTTTGCATTAAGAACAGACTGATACTAGGGGCTTGTCTCTTAGATGCAAACTTTGTTATCAAAAAGGATTATTGTTTTCTATAAAACAGATATTACTTTTTATAATAGGTTAGAATATTTTGAGGATAGTAACTTTATGTTTTATAGGTTTAGTTCTCAGAGATAAATAAGACATAGATCCAATAAATAGTACTTAGTTTTATGGTATGTAGTTATTGGAAATAAAAATGTTTAGTTTCTTCATTTCTTATTCATAAAATTTGCCCAAATGAATATAAGTATTTGCATTTACCTTCGAAATTGTTTATAATGAAGTTTTCTTTCTCCTCTTTTTCCAAAGAAATGTATCTGAAGGGTGGTCTTAATTTCAGGTTCTTTTGCTGTTGGTTCCTATAAAAAAAATCATGCAATTTTAAATAACTATAAATAAGAATAAAAATGGAACCTATAGAGCAGAACTCTTAGAACAATATCCAGAAATGATTCTTGGAGGGGAAAAAAGAGGGAAAAAAAAAAAAAACGGTAGAAAAGAGGGATGTAGCCATTCTTTCTGTTACTTTGCATAACACTATTCTATAATCATCCTTGTTCAAGCAAGAGGAAAACAATAAGGGCTAAAATACTCAAGGTAGAGTTTAACAGTAAACAAAATCTTAGATTAGGCCAAAAAGGGAGCTTAGAATAGTGAAACAAATGTTATTTCATATTTTCTAATGAAGCAACACTGAGAGAAATCAAAGCAGTGAAGTGTTTGAGTTCTTGCAGAATGTTAGACATACATGCAAAACATTTTTCCTAATTATAAAATTAACAGGTGAGAATTCTATTAAAGGTAATGAGCAAGACAGATTCTTCTTTCTTTAATTCTTTAGTCAAATAAGCAGTAAAAAGAATAACAAAATTGGCAAAAAAAAAAAAAAGTTAGCAGCAGCAAACAACAAAAGTGAGTACAAATTTAAGCCAAATATTTTGAAAAAGGGCAGTCAGAGAAAGAAATAATAGATTCAGGTGTGGTATGGTCCATCAGGTCTCCTAATCCTATCCCTAACCCTGCTTCTAAGAAGCCGAAGGGGTATGCAAGATTATTGCATTGGGAGTTCATTAAAACCTTCAATTCAGTGATAAGTAGATTATTGGAGGGAGATAACCCTGAGACGAGTTGTGGAAAATCCCCTTGTAGAAGCTCCTCCTTGGAGCTGTGGTGGGACTTGAGTGGAGTGAGGAAGGGCTTTAAGGGCTCACCATCTTCCAGAGCACTATGTTAAACTGAGGGAACAATCAGAAGCCCATGGGTGGGATATACCTTGGAAAGGAGGAGTGGGCTGTGGTCTAGAGTCTAGAACATTTAATAGGATCAGAGAGAGCACAGAACATAGGACGACCTCCAGCAAGGGCTGCATTCAGCCCAGGGAACTCCTCTCTCTTGTCACTATCCCTCCAGTCTACAGAATAGTGGATCAATATGTAGTACCTGCAGCTCAGGGGGAAAAAAGATAAATTAGTTCCAGATAAGGTGGTAACAGTATTAAGGAGAATCTCATTCATGTTCTACCAGAGCAAAGAGAAAGTCTGGACAAAACATGAGCATAAGGAAAAGATATGGCATGACAACTACACAAAGGGACTGTAGTAAGAAATAGAAAAAGAAAAAATCAGGCAAAAGGCACAAAAACTCTGTCTAGAAGAACACATAACTCAAGGAACAAATGTATACAAATGCATATTCCCCATGAGCCCCCCCCCCGCCTTTGTTTTTTTAAAAAAACCAACTTTTCATTTTGAGATAATTATGGATTTGCATGCAATTGTAAGAAACAATACAAAAAGATCCCTGGTTCCCTTTACTCATTATTCCATAATGGCAACAACTTGCAAAACACAGTATATCACAACTTGACACAGTCAACATGGAACATTTTCTTCACCACAAGGATCCCTCATGTTGCTCTTTTACAGCCACACCAATTTCCCTCCTGCTCAATTCTATTTCTATAATTTTGTGCTTTCAAAAACGTTATATAAATGGAATCATACAGTACATAGCCTCTTTAGGTATTGGCCTTTATTTGCTCAGCAAAATTCGCTGGAGATTCACCCAGGTTGTTGTAACTGTTGCTGTTTCAATTGTCTGTTTCTTTTTATTGCTGAGTTGCATTTCATGGTATGGATTACCACAGTTTAGGTATTTGCCTGCTGAAGGACATCTGGGTTGTTTCCAGTTTTGGCTATTACAAATAAAGCTGCTAAAAATATTTGTGTACAGGTTTTTGTGTAAACACAGGTTTTCTCTGAGGTAGATGCCCAGGAGTGCAATTACTGTTTTCCAGAGTGGCGGTTTTACATCCCCACTAGGAATAAATGAGTGCTCCACTTTCTCTGCATTCTTGCAATCATTTGGTGTTGTCAGTGTTTTTTAATTTTAGTCATTTGGATAGATGTGTTGTGATACGTCACTATGATTTTAATTTGTACTACTCTAATAACTAATGGTGTTTAGTATCTTTTCATGTGTGTGTTGGTTGTTTGTATATCTTTATTTCTATTTTTTAAATTTTTATTTACATATTTTTTTCCCTATTACATGCTAGTGAAGAAGGTTGTTTGTATATCTTCTTTGGAGAAAGTCCTTTGCCCAGTTTTTAATTCAGTTGTTCATTTTCTTGTTGTTGAGCTGTAAGAGTTCTTTATGTATTCTGATAGTAGACCCTTATCAGATACAGGACTCGCAAGTATCTTCTCTCATTCTGTTGGTTATCTTTCTCCCCTCTTGATAGTGTTTTCTAATGAACACGAGTTTTTAATTTTGATGAACTCCAATGTATCTATTCTTTCTTCTGTTGCTTTTGTTTTTATTGTCATATCTAAGAAATCATTGCCATATCCAATGTCATGAAACTTTTCCTTTATATTTTCTTCTAAGAGTTCTACAGCTTTAGCTCTTACATTTAGGTCTTTGATCCATTTGAGTTAATTTTTATATGCCAGTGTAAGAAGGGAGTCCGACTTTACTGTTTTGCATATAGATATCCAGTTGTACCAGCAACATTTGCAGAGGAGACTTCATTACTTTTCAAAATTGTGAATTGTATTTTAAATTTTGGTATCTGGGTATTCACTGCTAATATATACATACGTGATTGATTTTTGAAAATTTATCTTATATCCTGTGACCTTCCTAAGGTCAATTATTAGTTTTAGAAGTTTTTCTCCCTCCAGATTCCTTGGGAGTCTTTTTTTTTTTTGAGACAGAGTCTCACTTTGTTGCCCGGGCTATAGTGCCATGGCGTCAGCCTAGCTCACAGCAACCTCAAACTCCTGGGCTCAAGCAACCCTTCTGCCTCAGCCTCCCGAGTAGCTGGGACTACAGGCATGTGCCACCATGCCCAGCTAATTTTTTCTTATAATTTAGTTGGGCAATTAATTTTTTTCTATTTTTTTAGTAGAGATGGGGTCTGGCTCTTGCTCAGGCTGGTTTCCAACTCCTGACCTTGAGCGATCCACCCACCTCAGCCTCCCAGAGTGCTAGGATTACAGGCATGGGCCACTGCACCTGGCCTCCTTGGGAGTTTTGACAAAGACAATGCCATCTGCAAGTAGGAACTGTTTCCTTTTTTACTTTCCAATCAGTAGGCCTTTTATTTCCTTGTCTTGCCTTATTACAGAGGCTAGAACTTCCAGCACTATGTTGAATAAGAGTAGTGACAATAAACATCCTTGCTTTACTTCTGATCTTAGGAAAACAGTATTCAGTCTTTCTTCATTAAATGTGTAAACTGTAGGCTTTTGTGGATATTCTTTATCACATTGAATACCTCCCTCCCTGCCTCATTTCTATTTTAATAAGTGCTTTTTAAAAAAAATGTTTTGGTTTTTTTGTCAAATGCAATTTTGTCAAATCCTTTTTCTACATTGATATGATAATGCGATTTTTCTTCTACAATCTATTAATAATGCTGGATTACATTGACTGCTTTGGGAATACCAAACCATTCTTAGAATAAACCCTACGTGGTCATGACATAATTTTTTTCCAAAATTTTATCTAGACAATATAATTTCTTTAGTTGGTCTTAAATCTTTCTACTTTGGAGCAGAAAAATCAACCAGCAGAAAAAGTGAAATCTGGTCACTCAAGGATTATAATTTCTCTATTCTACAGGTGTCCCAAAAGTCTCCGTACAAAGAAAACAATTTTGTAACATTTTGTAATGAATATTTTTTAAATAAAAGTACACTTAGCTACAATTTCCCATTTTCCTATGCATATAGCAACTTTTGGGACACCCAGCATTTCTAGGCTTCTCGAGCAATAATTATTTGACTACATTCCCTTATAGACCATGGGCTGGGCTGGGCTGGGCTGGGCTGGGCTGGCCTGAGAGTTTTGGACAAACTAAGGTGTTGTACTTCACAGCCTTGAGCAAGTATGTTAACAGGTTTAATGTTCTCCTGTTGATCAAGAAGAGTTTCCCAGATAGGGCATCCCCTGGTCAAATGATAAATTATAAAAACACTCACCCAGATGATACCTCCCACAGTGCTGCAGAAATTCTTCCTTATTCCTACCAAAAAAAAAAAAGCCTATACCGTCTTAAACCATTCGGGCTAGTGATTCTAGTGCCAAGCCTCAGATACGTGGGCTGCTCCTTCTCTCCTCCCTGCCTCCCCACATCCTACCCTTCCTTCACAGCGAGTTTAAGCTCTTCCAATGGAATGTCCCCAGTCCAAAATGGCATCTGATTATTTATTTATTTATTTACTTTTTGAGACAGAGTGTCACTCTGTTGCCCGGGCTAGAATGCCGTGGTGTCAGCCTAGCTCACAGCAACCTCAAACTCCTGGGCTCAAGCGATCCTCCTGCCTCAGCCTCCCCAGTAGCTAGGACTACAGGCATGCACCACCATGCCCGGCTAATTTTTTCTATATATTTTTAGTTGGCCAATTAATTTCTTCTATTTTTAGTAGAGACAGGGGACTCGCTCTTGCTCAGGCTGGTCTCAAACTCCTGAGCTCAAACAATCCACCTGCCTCAGCCTCCCAGAGTGCTAGGATTACCCCTTATTGTCCTTTTGATGGCTACAGGGTCTGTAGTGATAGCTCCAGTTATTTTTGATATTGGCAGTATATGTACTCTTTTTTTCTTTGTCAGTCTTGTCAGAGGGTTGCCAATATTAATCTCTTCAAAGAACCAGCTGTTTCGTTGATTTTCCCCACTGCTTCTCTGTTTTCAATTTCATTGACTTCTGATCTTATCACTATTATTTTCCCACTTCTGTTTGCTTTGGGTTTTTGTCTCCTTTTTCTAGGTTCTTGAGGTGGGAGTTTAGATTATTACTTTGAGTCTTTTCCTTTTCTCTAACATACGGATTTCATGCTACAAGTTTTCCTGTCGGTAGTACTTTGACTCTATCCCATAAATTTTGATACGTTGTATTTTCATTTTTGTTCAGTTAGATATATTTTTTGGTTCCCTGGAGATTTTCTATGTGACCTAGGGATTATTTAGAAGTATGTTTAGTTTCTAAGTGTTTGGAGAGTTTCCTGTTACTGATTTCTAGTTTGATTCCATGAGGTGAGAGAACACATTCTGTATGATTTTAATTCTTTTAAATTTGTTGAGATTTGTTCAGTGGCCTGGGATATGGTATGTCTTGGTATGTTCCTCGTACACTCAGAAAGAGTATTCTATAAATATCGATTAGATCCTGTTGGTTGATGATGTTCTGTTCTTGCTGATTTTCTGTCTAGTTGTTCTATCAATTGTTGAACAACAGAGTGTTAAACAGAGTGCTGTTTAAATCTCCAATTGTAATGGTAGATTTGTCTATTTCTCTTTTCAGTTCTGTCAGTTTTGGCATCACATATTTTCCAGCTTTGTTGTTTGGTGTGTACACATTAAGGATTACTATGTTGTGTTGGTGGGTTGACGCTTCTACTATTATATTAAGTCCCTTTCTATCTCTGGTAATTTGCGTTGCTCTGAGGTTAGCTTTATCTGACATTAGCCACTCCTGTTTTCTTTTGATTAATGTTTTCATCCTTTTGCTTTCTAGGTGACTATATCTTTATATCTGTATTTTATCATAGCATATAGTGGAGTCATATCTTTTAATCTACTCTGCCAGTCTTTGTCTTTTAATTGGTACATTTAGACTTCATATTTAACATAAATGTTGGTATGTCAGGGTTTAAGTCTGTGATTTTAGTTTTTGTTTTCTGTTTATTCTGTTTTTTTGTGTCTGTTTTCTTTCGCCTTTTGTGTTACTTAAAAATCTTTTAGAATTTACTTTTGATTATATAGTGCTTTTGAGAGTAACTTTTTGTGTAAGCTTTTCGTGGTTGCTCTAGGTGTTACATTCTATAGAAATAAATTAATATAATCTACTGGTATCACGTTAACAGTCTGAGTGAAGTATAGAAATCTTACATCCTTTTAAGTTTCTTTACTTTCTATGTTTATAATGGTCTTAAATATTTCTCCTACAAACATTTACCACCTCAATTATTTTTGCTTCAATCTCAGGAGGAGAAATCTAGTGTATTTACCCACATCTTTGTTCAATGTGTTCTTCCTGATGTTCCAAGTGTTCTTTTATCGTTATCTTTTTGCTTAGTGGACTTTGTTTAGCCATTCATGTAGTGTAGGTCTGGTGACAAATTCAATTTGGTGACAAATTCTCTTAGTTTTCCTTCATCTGAGAATGTCTTGATTTCCCTCTCATCCTTTTTTTTTTTTTTGAGACAGAGTCTTGCTCTATTGTTAGGGCTACAGTGCCATGGCGTCAGTCTAGCTCACAGCAACCTCCAACTCCTGGGCTCAAGCGATCTTCCTGCCCTAGCCTCCCAAGTAGCTGGGACTACTCCCATGCTCCATCACACCCAGTTGCCTAATTTTTCTATTTTTAGGAGAGACAGAGGTCTCACTCTTGCTCAAGCTGGTCTTGAACTCCTGACCTCAAGTGATCCTCTTGCCTCGGACTCCCAGAGTGCTAAGATTACAGGTGTGAGCCACCATGCCTGGCCAATTTCTAATAGCAAATATTTGGAAACAATCTTAATCACCAATTAACAGGTTGGTTAAATGGTTAAATATGTTAGGTCAATGGGTAATGTTAGGTCTATCTGCTATTTGTTCTTTCATTAAAAATTATTAACTGAGCATGTAGTGCATGCCTGGTGTTTCACTGTGTGAACATCACAGAGTGTACTTACACAAACCTAGATGGGATAGCTTACTACACACTAGGTTGTAAGTTATGGCCTATTGCTCTGACAGTTGAATATGGAGTCTATTGTTGACAGCAAAATTGTTATGAGGCACAGGAGTGTTATTAAAAAAATTAAGTTACTGATAAATCTATTGGTAACTATCTGGGAATATTTGAACAAACAGAATAGAGCAGCTATTATAAATATCATTTGTTTGGAAATATGTAGTTTATTTGTACATACCTGATATTCTGTTTCATTGGTTTTCACTGTCAGCAAGTCTTCTTGTTTACTTATGATTTTCTGCAGCTAAAAAGATTGCAAACATGAGTTTACCTTTGTGCCTACTGGAGTTTTCAAAACAACCTAAAAAACAGATGCTAAATTGTTATTATAAAATATATACCAGTTATTTGTCAAATATTAACTTAAATTCTTTCTGCAGCATAACTCCTAATATTACCATTTTTCTTAGACCATGTAAAAATTCAAAGGAGAAAATAGATAATGAAGTATTAACATTATTATTACACTTTTCTACTAAGAAAGCTGGCTTACTTAATAGATACATGTTCCAAAGGCAGCACTCTATAAAAACATGATTACTCTGTCCTTCTTTCAACAGAATTTTTATTTGTAATAAAGTTTTTTATATTACTGATAATTTATGGCGTTTTAAAGTATATAGCTCTTAAATAGCTATTTATATCATACACATGTTCGTCTTTTTCCTTTATGCATTTACAAAGCATTAAAATAATTTAAATACTTATATTTCTGCTAATTAGAACATTGTAAATAGTATCTTGAAACTGAGTACATTAAAAAACCTACCTACCTTTCAAAGTCACTTGTATCAATCCTCATATGGAAAGCAAATTTAAAAAAAAAACAAGGATTTTAAAAGAATCAGGTGTAGACAAAATCTCAAACTATGGATTCAAATCAATCAGGAGACAAATCTCCACCCAGTTTTTTTCTAGGCTATTTCTTTACTAGTTTGAAAATTACTGCAATTATAAATTCCAAATTAATCATTTCAAATTTAGCTACTTCTATTATGTTTGTGTTAGGCAAATGGTTTTGCTCTAGTTTTCTAAATCTCTCAGCCAGTTTTCAATGCTTCTTCCCCACCCCCCAATTAGGGAAAAAAAAGTTGATAAACTTTATTTGTTTTACTTTTTATTTCTTAAGTTGACAATCACACAGTGTAACACCAAGTTCAATATCCAAACGTGTCTCTCTTTGTTTATTCTTCCCCTACTTCAAAAATTTTTATTATAGAAAATTGCAAACATAAGTGAACAGAATTCTATAATAAACTACCATATAAAGATTACTCATCTTCAATGATCATCAGTATTCTGCCAATCTTGGCTCGTATGCTTCTACCAGTTCCCTTTTCCCCTCCCAATTATTATTTGCAGCTCTTCAGGAAAAAAGTACATACATTGAAATGCAAAAATCTTAGCCATACAATTCTGACAAAGTTTCTCTGTGTCTCTTCCTAGTTAATCCTTTCTCCTTACATCCCCACAGAAGCCACAGTTCTGACTTTCCCCCTACTTAAATTAGTTTCACCTAGTTTAGAAATTTAAATAAATGGAATTGAATACTAAGTATTCTTTTGCGTTGTCCTTCTTTTCACTCAGCATAATGATTCACCCAGGTTTGCATATCAGTAGTTTGTTCCTATTTATAGTTGAGTTTTATTCCACTCTACGAATATATCACTATTTATTTATCCATTCACCTGCTGATAGATGTTTGCATGTTTTCTGGTTTTGGCCATTGTGAATCAAGATGACACAAACATTCTTATCCCATTTTTGTGGACATAGGTTTTATTTTTATTTATTTATTTTTTTGGAGACAGAGTCTCATTTTGTTACCCAGGCTAGAGTGAGGATGGCGTCAGCCTAGCTCACAGCAACCTCAAACTCCTGGGCTCAAGCAATCCTCTCGTCTCAGCCTCCCGAGTAGCTGGGACTACAGGCATGCGCCACCATGCCCAGCTAATTTTTTCTATATATATTAGTTGGCCAATTAATTTCTTTCTATTTATAGTAGAGACGGGATCTCGCTCTTGCTCAGGCTGGTTTCGAACTCCTGATCTTGAGCAATCTGCCCGCCTTGGCCTCCCAAAGTGCTAGGATTACAGGTGTGAGCCACCTCACCCAGCCATACTGACATGATCTTATTGGTTTCTCTTTTATTTATTTATTTTTTGAGAGAGAGGGTCTTGTTCTGTTCCTCAGGCTGGAATGCAGTGGTGTTATCACAGCTCACTAACCTCCAATTCCTGGGCTCAAGTGATCCTTCTGCCTCAGCCTCCTAAGTAGCTAGGACTATAGGCATGTGCCACTAGGCCTGGCCAAGCTTGAAAATTTTTTGTAGAGATGGAGTTTTGCTGTGTTGCTCAGGCTGGTCTTGAACTCCTAACCTCAAGTGATCCTCCTGCTTCAGCCTCCCAAAATGCTGGGATTACAGGTGTGAGCGATGGTGCCTGGCTTGGTTTCTCTTTTATTTTGTAAAATATTTTGTAATATTGCACTAATTTCTCAACATTAAGCTCATTTTCTATTCCTTTGATAAATCTCACTTGGATGCATTATTTTATATCAGTGGTCCCCAACCTTATTGGTACCAGGGACTGGTTTCATAGCAGACAATTTTTCCACAGATAGGGATGGGAGCCGGATCTGGGTGGGTGGAGAGAGAACTCCGGGCTTAGTTCCTAACAGGCTGTAGACTAGTAGCTGCTATGTGCCCAGTTCCTAAGTTTCAGTTGTAATGTCTCCTTTCTCATTTCTGATTGTATTTATTTGGATCTTCTCTCTTCTTGGTTAGTCTGGCTAGTAGTTTATCAATTTTATCTTTTCAAAGAACTAACTTTTCGTTTCATTGATCATTTGTATTGTTCATTGGCCTTTATTTTATTTAGCTCTCCTCTGATCTTTGTTATTTCTTTTATTCTGGTAACTTTGGGTTTGGTTTGTTCTTGTTTTTCTATTTCCTTGAGGTGTGATGTTAGGTTATTAATTTGTGATCTTTCTATGTTTTTGAAGTAGGCATTTAATGCTATAAACTTCCCTCTTAGCACTGCTTGTTTGTATCCCACAATTTTCTTCCTTAAGCTAACTTTAATTTCCTTCCATAATGATCACATATCTCAAAAGAATTATTTTTTGTCTACTGCTATCAGTTTTGAACATCCTATTCACTCCTCTTCAGCCTTTGCTCAGTGTTGTCAGTCCCTACCACTCTTTTGAAACTGCTCTGTAACAGTTCCTACTGACCTACATTGCAGGGGCTCTCTTCTCTACTTAGTCCCTATCCTACTTGCCCACCTTTAAAAAAGTTTGGTATTAAACACTCCATCATTATTCTTTTGTTCCATGATTTTACTTCATTACACTGTGTTCTCTGGGCTTTCTTAATTCTCTAGCACTCTGCTTACTGCTCTGTTCCTTCTCAGTTTCATTCCTTGACTTTACAACTTTAGCTTGACCTCAATATGAAACTGCTCTCCAAGACTCTGGTCCTACCCCTTTTCACCTACATTCTCCCCCTTTGAGGTCACACATTGTCAGGACTTAATTATCACCTCTATGAGGATGTTCCCTATTCCTGGCTATATTCTTATTTTCTAGATAGTTGCCTACTATACTTGTCTGTCTCTATAGGGATGTCCTATCCATTGAGCAAACCCAGTATTTTGAAGCTCAGAGTCAAGATCTTTCTCAAGCATCCTATGAATTCTCCTTCAAATGAGGAAGGCTGACACTGAGAAAAAAGAAGGGCTTTAGAATTGGATGGACTTGGAATCAGATCATGGCTGTAATACCACCTGCATATTACCACCAACATTTTGGAAACAAAGTGAAATTTATTTGTTGGGTCTCCTAGAGTTGTTTCAGGAAATACCATTTAAACATATTTTCAGCTTTTCAAATATCAGCCTTTGCAGACTCCTGGAAAATCTACACCAATTTAACCAATTGTGGCCTTTCCATTTTTTTTCCTATTCTTTATGAAGGCTTAAGTTTCTATTATGTCTATTCCTTTTATGGTATAAGAATAATTTTTAACATATCTTTAACACATATTCTTTAAACTATACATATCCTATGAAGCCCCTTTTTCTGTAATATTATTTGCTGAAATCATAATAAAACCCTGCAAAATGCTTAAGCTTATTTCTCCTTGTAGAATCTTATGTTTTGGTCAGGCGTGGTGGCTCACGCCTGTAATCCTAGCACTTTGGGAGGCCAAGGCGGGAGGATTGCTCAAGGTCAGCAGTTCGAAACCAGCCTGAGCAAGAGTGAGACCCTGTCTCTACTAAAAATAGAAAAAAATCGACCAACTAAAAATATATATACATATAAAAAACTAGCTGGGCATGGTGGTGCATGCCTGTAGTTCCAGCTACTTCGGAGGCTGAGGCAGTAGAATAGCTTGAGCCCAGGAGATTGAGGTTGCTGTGAGCTAGGCTGATGAAATGGCACTCACTATAGCCTGGGCAACAAAGTGAGACTCTGTCTCAAAAAAAAAGAAAAAAAAAAGAATCTTATGTTTTGTATACTTACTGGTTTCCTCAATGATATAATATAGACAATTTAATATTTTTGAATATACAAATTTCTTTGCAGTTCATATGTAAACAGTGACTATAATTTTGATTTTTGTAAAATTATCACACAAACATCCAGGTGTTTTATGATAAACCTAAAATAATTTACTTACCTTAAAAAATTCCTTTTTTTCAATCATCTCATTACCATCTGCATCCAGCATTTTAAAAGCAACATGAAACCCAGAATGGGGCTCTGTAATGAAGTGAAAATGAATAATTATTTAAATATTGGTGAAAAGAAAATTATTTGCAGATAGATAAGTCTTCAAATTTAAATAAACCAGCAGAAACTATATGAGTAAAAGTGCCTAAACAAAAAAACAGTAATGATTTCTTCTTGTAACAATTTCCAAATGTTCATATTTGGTGCTAAGACTTTGACTCCTGCCTTTTCCAACACCTTTTCCAGGAGTGTGGCTGTTCTGCTAGTAGGTGTTCTGTCTTTCAATGCAACATTAATTTGAGAATTTAATTTATTTCTTTAGCTCTACTAGGGACTTTCCTGTATTTTTACAGTACCCTGGCTATTTTCACATTGATGATTACTTTTTACTTCCCTTCCCCAGAGTAAGAGTTTTTTTTTAAAAAAATTTTATTTTGCTATCATTTTAGACTTATAAGGATTTTTAATATTTCTAAGGAAAGGCTAATTCTATGATTACACTGTTCAACAAGACTTCTATTACGGAGACAAAGTACTAGGGCGTCAGTGTGCACAGGAGGTAGAAGAGACCTAAAGGGATAATCTAACCAATATTATCATTTTGTAGATACAGAACTAAGGTACCAATAATATTTTTAACGATAGAGACGTAAATACCAAACTTCCAAAATCCTGTTTGGTAAGAACAGACAATTCCACATAATCACTGAGAAAAAATGTGGGATACTTACTAGTGAGGATTGTAAGCAAGAAAAGATACTCGGTATATGAAATTAGCCCTGAAAGAGATAAAATAAAAACATACCAAAAAATAAGTGTTAGATGGTTTAGAAGTAACTACATAGAGATATTAATATTAGAACTTCACCTAATTTAAAAAGCACATTTTCTTTATCTTACTTTTTGAGAGACAGAGCCTCATTCAGGCTGGAGTGAAGAGTGCTATCATAGCTCCCTGCAGCCTCTAATTTGTGGGCTCAGGCAATCCTCCCCCCTTCCCTCTGCCCAGTAGCTGGGATTACAAGCATGAGCCACCATGCCTGGCCCTAAAAACACATTTTTACTTTAAATTACCTCTCTTTGTTACAGTGGAAAATTTTTGTAGTAGAGAGTTGCAGTACAGTCCTAAAACTTAAAGACACTACGTTTCATTAGGTTACTATATTACTAGTAAGGAGGGTGTGGTGCTAAATTTTAAGTGTCAATCTGACTGGGCCATAAACATTTTCAGTGCCCAGAATAAACACTATTTCTGGGTGTATCTGTGATGGTATTTCCAGTTGAGATTAATATGTGAATTGGTAGACTCCATAAAGTAGGATGTCCTACCCAACACAGGTGGGCATTATGCAATCTGTTGAACAAAAAGTGGGAGAGGGAGGAACTCACTCCTCCCTTTTTTCCTGTCTCACTGCTAGAGATGGGATATCTTATCTCTTCTTCTCCTGCTCTCAGACTGGGATTGATACCACCAGCTCCCCTGGGTCTCCAGCTTGCAAGATGGCAGATGATGGGACTTTGGAACCTCCATAAAAATGTGAGCCAATTCCTCATAATTAATCTCTCTCTTTATCTCCTGTGGGTTCTGTTTCTCTGGAGAACAGTGACTAAGAGAAGAGGAAGGGATGCTGGCTAGCAAATAACAGGTATCCACTAGAAGTTGTATTAATATTTGCATGGCACTTTATGTAATTCCTACTTAAATTTTACTGTACAATAACATCAGGTAAAGCAAATATATTAATTCCGTAGAGTAACAGAGATTTGGATAAACCAAGAGTCAAATGATATTGTTTAAAATGTAATAATCAAATCGTTGTAGCAGTAACTTGATTTTCCTTTGGGAAATCATTCTTCCCCATTCTCAAACATGCAGCTTGGGTAGGATGACCCCATCTTCACCTCTGGAGGTAGATTATCATTGGCGTAAGCCAATCACTATACTTCTGTGGAACTGATGAGGGGACTGGCAGGTAACTCAGGCCCAAGCTACTAAGCAGGGTGCATCAGTCTGGTTCCAGGGACTAGTTCAGGGACGGGCCATGACCTAAATTGGGCTACTCAGAGTGGTACCCTAGGATTTCTGTTGTGAACGCTGGACCGCTGACTGATTTTTTTTGAGTGTGTGTGCTTGGCTTTGATTATATGCAAATGTTATCCTTGGGAATGTGAGGCTACAGTGCTTGGAACTGCCAGAAGGCCAGTATTTAGAGCCTGAGAGTATGGTCAATCTTTAATTGGCAGGCCTAAAAAATGAATACTGGTGATTTTTGAGCCCTAGATTAAGTTGGGTTTGAAGTTAACTCTATGTCTAGTCACTAAAGAAACTTTTTTTCCTGTTTAACTATACTGTGTCAGGTTTTATGTTGCCTGCAATGAAAAAAATTACATTAAATACAGAAAGAGTATCTTAAACAATCATGGCTCCCTAAGCTAAAATTTTTTTTCCCTCTGAATCAAAAGATTGGTATAATAGCAAAGAGCACAATTAACAATTAAATGCTTTTTTATCATGAAAAACTTTAATCAATACAAAAGTAGAAAGAATAATATGATGAATATATATTATCTTAAATAATAACACGATGAAACTCAGTTCCAATAATTATCAACTGAGTGGTCTTGTTTTCTCTCTACCCCTTCTTACTCCTGACTTCCCACTAGATTATTTTGAAACAAATCCCATATATCATATCATTTCATAGTAAAAAAATTCAGGCTGTACCTCTAAAAAAAACCTGTTACCTTTTATGCCAAATACAATTATCACACCTAAGAAATTATCAATAATTCCTTAACATCTTTAAATTTCAATCAGTATTACTAACTTCTTGTTTCAGAAATTTTTTTTCAAGTGTTCTCAAATGAGGAGACTAAAAGGTGTCTGCACTGTACTTAGTAGATAGGTCTCTTATGTCATCTTATTGTGGTAAAATAACATAAAATTTACTATTTTAACCATTTTTGAATGTACAGTTCAGTGGCATTAAGTACATTCACATTGTCATACAACTGTCATTAGAGCTCTTTCATCACCCTAAAATGAAACACTCTACATGTTAAACACTAACTCCTGAATCTCCCCTCCCTCCAGAGCTCTATCACTGCATTCTGCGTCTGTTCAGGAAATGCAGCAACCAACGTTGCCAACCACTGTCTGAGATTAAGTGGATGAAACAGCCCATGATATTCATAGTTGAGGTGGGAAAGGAAACAAAGTTGGGGTGTATTTCTTTATATATTCTGGACAATGATCCCTTGTCGTATATATGATTTGAAAATTTTTTCCCATTCTGAGGGTTGCTTTTTGACTCTTGATTGTGATTTGTTTTGTGATTTGATTTGTTGCCCAGGTTGGAGTGCAGTGGTGACTAGCTCACTGTACCCCTGAACTGCTGGGCTCTAGTGATTCTCCTGCCTCAGTCTCCCAACGTGCTGGGATTTCAGGCATGAGCCACCATATACAGCCAATAATTATCTTTATGAGTCTAAGTATAGAATACATGATTTGAGATATAGACTCTTATAATCAATAGTAAAGCAGTACAATTTAAAAAAATCACATTTGTGTTTAGTACTTTTAATTCAATCAACATGGATGTTTTAATAATTTATCTGTAATTACTCACAGAGCTTGAAAGTTACCCCCTGCTCAATGAGTATTTTGTGATGTTTCAAAAACACTTATTAAATAACATGGTACACATCTCATACCTTAATTTCTTAATAATACTTTGGTTAAATAAAAAACATAATTAGAAACTTAACAAATCAAAATTACCTTTATCACCAAGGTCTCTAAAAAAAGTTGATCCACAACCAGATGTTTGGATTCCTCCAAGTGCATCTTCGATATCCTTTGAATACACACGTTAAAATCTTTCAATTTAACTTCCAAAAAATTATTTTCTATCTTACAAAAAACAAAGAACCCCTATACACTGCTTACCTTTTTTGTTAGCTTCTTGACTGAAGTTTTACCTATAGTAAAGAAGAAACATTATTTAGTACCCATATTCCTTGATAAAACTCAACTTGCACTGAGTCATTTAAAAAGACAAAACAAACAACTAAATATTTGTAAAAAATAAAGGCTTACAATTTTAGCCAATATCCTGAAACCAAAATTACGAGTCAGAGAATTCTAAGATGAAAGGGGTATAGTTTTTTACAAGATCTATTTTCAATTTCACTCATCCTATTTCATACATATGAAATCTTATGACTGTCTTTGACTTATCCTAGTTGTCTGCAGCATAAATTAATTCTTGCCAAACACGATTTCTTTTTCACATGATTATTAAAATCAGGCTCTTTTTACTTTCACTGATTAAAAAAAATTCATGATTTATAAAGCTACCCTTTTTTGAACCCTGGGAATTCCTCTTTTCCTTTTTTTTTTGAGACAGAGTCTCTCTCGGTTGTCCCAAGTAGGTACAGTGGCATCATCACAGCTTACCACAACCTCAAACTCCTGGGTTCAAGCAATCCTGCTGCCTCAGCCTCCCACGTAGCTGGGACTACAGGCGCATGCCATAATACCCAGCTAATTTTTCTATGTTTAGTAGTGACAGGGTCTTGCTATTGCTCAGGCTGGTCTTGCACTCCTGAGCTCAAGCCATCCTCCCGCTCTGGCCTCCCAGAGTGCTAGGATTACAGGCGTGAGCAACTGAGCCCGGCCCCCTATTTTCTCTCTTAATAAGTCATGTGTATCACAAACTTTCATTTCTTACTCTCAAAATTATCTTATCTGTGAAGTTCCTTTAGTACAATTACATGTCTGTGAAAATTCAAGTGATACATTAAAAAAAAAATGAGTGCTTTCAGATGTGCCTTTCTGTAGTTTGGGCTGCCTAATTTGAACTATAAATCCACTGGGGGCAAGTTGTACTATTTGGTAGTAATAAACTGTCAAGATTTTATTTTTATATTATTAATCAAAACATGAGTTGTGAATATGACATGACACTTTTTAGAACATTTATGATCATGCTTGTAAGCTTACGTATTACTATTCTGGAATAATTTTTATTCATTGAGAAACTATTATATGCCAGTCAATGACAAAGAACTCTAGATTCTAACGTTAGATGCTATATCATGAGATCCTTAAATAGAGAAAAGTTACCATTTAATTTACAAATCTAAGAGTCTGTGTGAATGTGTATATGAAAATTGGTAGTAACATAAAGCTGATGATGAACTCCAGAAAACTGTGTAATACATGTATTTTATTTTTATATATTTAGCTTAAAATAATTTGACTGTGATTCATATGTCTTATAATGCTTTTCTTAAAATTATGTCATAAATTATTATCATGTACACTTTTATCTTTAGACAATAAAGGCTAGCCTCCTCAGTTTTTATTTTTTTTTATGTTTTTTTTTTTTTGAGCTATCTTGCTTTGTTGCTCAGGCTAGAGTGAGTTGCCGTGGCGTCAGCCTAGCTCACAGCAACCTCAAACTCCTGGGCTCAAGCAATTCTGCTGCTTCAGCCTTGAGTAGCTGGGACTACAGGCATGCGCCACCACACCCAGCTAATTTTTCTAATATATTAGTTTCCAATTAATTTCTTTCTATTTATAGTAGAGACGGGTCTCGCTCTTGCTCAGCTGGTTTCGAACTCTGACCTCAAGCAATCCACCCACCTCGGCCTCCCAGAGTGCTAGGATTACAGGCGTCAGCCACCACGCCAGGCCTCCCTCCTCAGTTTTTAAAGAAGAGATTAATCCTTACACTCAACTCAGAAAGTACCCTAGGAAGCCATTTTGACATTTTGAAGGTAGAATTTGAGATGGCAATGTGGATGGTTTCTAGAAGTTTCTTAGAAATAAGATTTCTAAGGGGTCTTACTGACATGAAAGTTAGGTTCCATTTTGGTCTTTTAAATATCTTTGTGCTTGAAAACAAAAAAATTTAGTCTTTTAATTGGGGATACTGATTTTAACCTATAGCAGTTGCAGGCTTTCTCATGTTCTCTAATGGAATTGTCCTAACAACACTATGATGTAGATATTATTGTTTTATAGACCTAGAAACAGGTCAGGCAGCTTACCCAAGGTCACAGTGGGGCTAGGGAAGTGGTAGAGACAGCCTCGTCCCCAGGTCTTGTTGCCTCTAATATGCCTTCACCACTATTACAGTGACACCCAGCATCCCAAGGCCCCTTCACATATGTTTAAATATTTCTCAAACTTGTTTGATCAAAACAATCACCTGGAGGGTACTTGTTAAAAATATAGGAATATAAGATACAGGTGGATAGAGGGAGGGGGTGTAATAGATTGATTCTATGGCCCTATCTCAGACCTTGAGTCAAAATCTCCCAGCGTGGGAGTGGGGGGAAGATAAGACTTGAGAATTTATTTTTCCTAACCACTAGACCACCAGGGAAGGACTTGAGATTTCTTTAACAAGTCTCCCAAGTGAATTTCCCTTTTTTTTTTTTTTAAATAAGATCACCCCATCTGATCTAACCTTTTTTTTTTTGTTGTTGTTGTTGTTAAAAAAAACAAACAGAGACAGGGTCTCATTCTGTTGCCCAGGTTGGAGTGTAGTGGTGTGATCATAGCTCACTGCAGCATGGGAACCTCTGGGCTCAAGCATTCCTCCTGCCTCACTCCAGCCACGAATCTCCTACCAAGCAAGTTGGGAAATTCCGTGTTTCACATTTAATAACTGATACTCAATTTTACTGAGCAAGAAGCGATCTCAGACAGCTATAGTATAAAGTGACAAAGACAATAACTACAAATTCTAACCACACTAATTTTTCAACTTAAGATTCAGAAGCCCAAGATAAATAAACAAAGACATGGGCTCACACGAGCAACTTTGGAACATGCACTACAATAAATTCTATGGTCACCCCAATGTTAATGCCAACTGAATTTGGCATTTGGTTAATCTGAATTTGCCTGTCTGGCTTGGTTATTCATCCATTTCTTTATTATTTACTTATTTTTTTTCAACAAAAGCTCCTATGTTGCTAAGTAAAAACAAGGGCATGCAGTATACAGGTGCAAGGAACAGTTAAGACCAGAATAGGGCAAAATTCCTGTGGTGTCTTTCTAAAGGGCTAACTTCTCTCTTCCCAGACACTCTGGCATCCGTTCTGCAACCCATTTTTGCTTACACCTGGCTAGATATTAAGAGGTTAATAAATAGAAGTTCATAAGCAGTGACCTCACTGTCAGGGGATTTATATTATGAAGGGGTTCCTACATGTGTAAAAAAACCCTTCAAGGAATTTAAGCTAAAATCATAGCCCAACAAGTGGTAGAACACATATTTTTAGAGGGTAAGGGGTAGCACTGTCTTAGTTTTCCCTTAAATACTACTAATGGTGATTGTAAAGTTTAGCTGCATACACAGGAGCTACAAACATCTGCTTGTTCTACCCAAGGAAAGAGTTAAGGCAAAACTCACTTTATCATCTCGACCCAGATACTTCTGGTTTTATAAAACTGCATAAATTCATTAACTTTTGGTTTTTAGTTTCAACTTGAACTGAGTTACACTTAAAAACACTTCTTGTAGAGACCTCTCAATTACGGGAATGATAACACTCATTGTAATGTAAGGGCCTGTCTGAAGTGAGAGTCTGCCTCTATTAACCTATAAGTTACAGCTCAATGCTGCTGGCTTACTTGTGCAAACCAGAGATAACAGAAAACTGGCCCAGGGGAGGGGTAATCGGCTTCTGAGAACTACCTGCTTGGGGCCCAAGGGTGGAGCAATCGGCTAACCGCATACTTCTGCTTCTAGAAATCGCTTGCTTGCAGCTAGGCACGTAGGCATGGCGCCAAATAAGAAAAGGAGGCTCCTTGCCTCCGGTGGGCTACCAGTCCACCAATCATTTTAAAGGCTAAAACACGTAATCAGCTTGAGCGTCGCGGGTGCCCGGAAGAGAGGGGGGATAAAAGGGCAGCCCCAGCCTCGGTCGGGGTCCTTGCCCGAGAGACCTCTGCGTAGGTACTTTACGGCCTGGACCCTGGCTTGCCAGACGATAAAGCTCCTCTTGAGTGATTGCATACTCCATGTCTTTGTCCTTCTGTCCAGCAGGGTGCGGGAGGCCAGTCCCTAACAGTAAAATCTTTGAAAGATACAGAAAATATTTTTTTAAAAACCCTAAGACCACTCATAATTGAAGAATTCAGTATAACTGCCAATATTTTTGCATTTTCCTTAGTAAGAATGACAGTTATATAATAGTAGCCAAAGTTTCAGAGCTTCCTATGTGCCAGGCACTCTGTGCGTTATTTGTATGGCATTATTGGATCTTTGCAACAATGCTGTGGGCAGGTACTATTAGAGTTCCCATTTTACTGATGAGAAAACCTAGGCTGAAGAGCTCCTATAACTTTGCCCACAGACACACTACTACTAAGTGGTAGAGCCAGTATTCACTTTCTGTCCTACTCCAGGACCTGTACTCTCAACTATGCCATAATGTCGGCCGGGTGAGATGGCTCATGCCTGTAGTCCTAGCACCCTGGGAGGCCGAGGTGGGAGGATCATTTTAGTTCAGGAGTTTGAGACCAGCCTGAGTAAGAGCGAGACCCCATCTCTACTAAAAATAGAAAGAAATTAATTGGACAACTAAAAATACATAGAAAATATTAGCTGGGCATGGTGGCGCATGCCTGTAGTCCCAGCTACTTGGGAGGCTGAGGCAGCAGGATTGCTTGAGCCCAGGAGTTTGAGGTTGCTGTGAGCTAGGCTGATGCCACGGCACTCCAGCCCAGGCAACAAAGTGAGACTCTGTCACAAACAAACAAACAAACAAACAAACCTAAACCATAATGGCCACTGTTCTTTTGTTCCTCACTCATGTATGCTGACTACACCATCTTTTGATCCCACTGGGCCCTCCAACCTATTTGATACTGCTGGCTTTTCATTATTCCTCACCTGCTTGTGTCCTAACGTCTCACCTGGCTCAGCTTCCGTGGACAACCTTTACAATCATTCCCTTGT